ACTTTATCTATCGCATAATATATTACTCGGGCCTAAGCCCCCCTTCCTGAAGGGACACGACCGTCACTGTTTGTTACAAGCAATAAATTGAATTTTGTATTGGAAATACTTTAAGTTCTACAACTGTTTTTAAGAAAGTCGTGAACGGTTTTTGAGATCTTACTCTAAATATTTAAATATGTAAAGTTGGGCTAGTCTGTAACATTGGAGTTTTTCAAACTAAAACACCTCTGAACTAGAAAGGTAAACAGTTTAAAACAAGTCCAACTAAAATAACTTCTCTTTTATCAATATATTTTCACTGAAGATACTGTAACAATTAAGATTTCTTACTTTAACACTGCAAAAAAGTATGAATTGTTCTTTAATAATTATTTTTCGTGACAACTTATGTGACTTGACAAATAATACAAAAATTATGTTTTTGCTAGGCACATAAAACTGTCACATACCTAAACAAATAAAATTAAAATAAATGTATATCTGTTATTATTTATAATTTTTAATTGTTGCTCTAGCTGCATCTTGAATTTCAGATGTTGTAGACTGAAATTCGAAATAAGACAAATTACAGGGCTTTTTGGTCAACATTTTATAATAATAATTACTAATATAGCTGCGAAGTTATTGTGACACCTCGGAATGTTTTATTGACTGTTGTTTCTGTGAAGAAAAATTTTCTTATATTATATTGACAAATAAATGCCACTTTTATATAAAAATTGTATATGTTATTTGGAGCATAACAATCTTTTTTTCTCCTAAGAATATAATCTATTTTATTCAAACCGATTGTATTCCAATTATCATTTATCTATTCTAGAGGATTGAAAAATTAAAACGTAAACAAATAAAATCATTTATTAACACCTATATATATCTTTTTATTTAAATTAAATTTTATCTGACTAGATAGGAAACCCTGGAATATTATCGATGACTAACGTAGAAATTACCTAAAATACTATGAAGCAGAAGCTGCAGTTTTTATCCTGAAAAAATAATAATCAATTATCGACCTATACAAAAACAGAAAAAATATGAATGGAATACCTTTAAACAGACAACGCTCTATATAAAATTCTAAAATGTCATTTAAAATCAATATTAATCATTTAAAATAAATTTAATATACCTAGGTAGAGCTTCATTATTATCCATAGAGTACATTACTTCACAATGCGCAGAAACCAGATTGAATTTATAGGCAGTAGGCGTGGTCAGATCTCCCAGCGTTTTACTTATTGCATTTCTTGTCATTGTTATTTTCTTGTGTTTAGTGTTTCGATTTGATCCAAAGAAACGTTTATTTCTAATTTTTTCGACTATTCAATTTTGTGTGTATTTTGGTAAGTACAATTTATACCTAACTAAATCATTTAAAGAGTAAAAAATTAAGTTTTATAAACTACCATTCTTAAACACTTATTCTGGTATGTAAAATCACACTTTATACAGAATAATTATTGAAAAAGGAACATAAGACCCCCATCTAAAGGTCAAAAAATCGTGTTATTTTTTGTGCCTATTAAAATAGAGGTACTTTTAGAGAACCAGGGGTATGCACATCAATTAATCGTTTACATATTACTCATATTTATATGTTCAAGATTAAAGTTTAATTATAATTCATTTAAGTGTGGTCGTAGATCAAATGTATGAACACGTGTGAAGTGCTTCACATCTTTAGAACTAAAGTGACACAAGTTGGATATTATTCGTTTTAGTCATAACTTTTTTATATATTTCAAATATGCTACGGAAAAACAGTTAGCCGACCTAGGCCAATATAGCAAGGTTAAATATCGAGGAGCTCTAATTTCGAACCGTTTTTTTTAGGTATAATTTACTTTTTAAAGTAATAATTAGTTTTTTTCCGTTGTAAAATGCTTATAAAATTTGAATACTCAGTTTCAATTGAATAACTTTAAAAAAATAATAATTACTGTTTAAGTTCACTCACATAACAGCAGCTATCAATAATATATTATCTAGGCACTCTTACAGTTCTCAACCAGTTGGGTTATAAAGAATTTTTAATAAAATAATTTCAAACTTAATTTTTTAAGCACATTCGAATAAAAAATAATGTATGAACCACGGACGAACATGTGTTTTAGGACTCCTAGTAGTCGTCCTAAAAACTCAACTTTTCGTCCTTGGTACATAAACTACTATTATATACCTTTTATTCAAAACCAAATTTCTTACATCTATTAGCTTGTTGAACGACATGAATCAAAAACATTTATTAGGACAAAAGGGCCAAGTTCTTCACGCCCAGACCAAAGAAGTAATTTCACGCCTGATTAACTTCATGAAAGACGAGGCTGAAAATGGTGTTAAAATACCGTTGAACAAATACAGAGAAAGTTCTAGCTGCTACTTTGAACAGTTATTGTAGAATAGACGATAGCGGGTAAAGTAGAAAGCGGAGTTAGTACTTCATTTTCACATTTTTCTCAAGTAGGTAAGGTGAAAGTAAGTTCATTTGTTTAATCCATGAGGCCTGGAGAATTGGAATAACTCAGGAGCTTAATTCATGGTTTTCATATCATTGAGAAAAAGCTACCAACTCTAAAATGTAAGTGACTTTTTCGATATTAATGACAATGTATTTTATTGTAGGTATATTAAAAAAATTACCAAGGAGGCATCTCATCACTCAGAAAAATATTAATAAACATGGGTTTTAAGTATTAGTTGCATAAATAACCGTACTGTAAAGATGTAAACACGAAATTTTTATTTTTGCAGATGGAAGAAAAGTGAAGACAATAAATCCGACCTTTTGGAATCCTACGATATCAGAAACAAGAGGACGAATTATTTAAAGAAGGCACGCCTATTGTTTATTGTGATGAGACCTATTTACACAGTAATCATACACATTCAAAAGTATGGAATGATGGCAAAAACACTTTTAAAACTCCAATGAGCAAAGGTAGAAGATTAATAATATTGCATGCCGGGAGTAAGGATGGTTTTGTGCCATATTTAATATTTACTTCAGGTATTAACCTATTTTTGAAATTATAATCATTATTGTAATTAAACCCTTATTATAGTTAAAATTGACTCATGAATTGGTTTATTTATGATAACGGCATTTTACTTAATTGCTCTTTATCTGTACTTAATCCTGTATATAGGTAATTATTATAAGACGGTTTTCACTAATAATTTTTTTCATGGAAGTATAATTCAAAAGCTCATTAAAACAGATTATTCATAATACAATTATTATAGTTTTAGCTTATTTAAATAATATTTTAATTGTAAATAGAGAGTTATTTTTGTAAGTCTCAATATCAAGCCTCTAATTATAAGTAAAGAATACGATTATCATAATTCTTTTTACTTTTTTTCAGGGAAACAACTGGAGATTACCATGACGAAATGAATTGGGACAATTTTTCACAATGGACTAGAAGGCAGTTAATATCAAATTTTCCTCCTAGGGTTGTACTTGTAATCGATAATGTCAGTTATCACAACGTGAAATTTGAAAAATCGATTACAAGCCAGACTAAAAAGGCAGATTTGATTAGCTGGCTCGTTCAACGTAGCATTCCGCATGATGCTAAAATGACAAAACCGGAACTTTACAGACTCATCAAAGTTCACAGACCACCACCACTTCTTTTAGATAGAAGAAAGAGGACACGACGTTCTGCGTTTGCCTCCATACCATCCCGAATTAAGAGAAAATATGGGCCCAAGTAAAAAACTGGGTGGACCAACACAACATTTAAACTAAATGATGTTGAAACATTAGCAAGAGAGAAATTTCAGAATATTACCCCTGAGGAATGGGCAAACGTGGTTAATCATTGCTCGAAATATGAGGATGCGTATAATCATAAAGAACAGTTAATGGATGGATATACAGATTCCTTGATATTCAATGTAAATACGGATCATCTGACGAGTGGGATTCAGAATTATCGGATATTGAAAATAAAAAATAGATAATCACAAATATATTTATTATTAAATAAAATTTTCAGTGGTTTTATTAATTTACAGTTTATTAAAAATTTGACAAACAATAGTCGAAATTCTGACTGATACTTTTCATTTACGAATATTTCAGATTTAAAATATTTTATAAATGTACACATGCCACTGCTAAAGAAAGCACTGGTTATCAGATACCCCTACCGTAAGCGATTTTAGATCAACGTCGTCAAATAAGCTCCTCCTGGCTGCGCGAAATTAGACATTTTGTTAGGCAATATATTCTTCGGATAGTAATCGAGCTCTACTTTTTTTTGTTGGACCTGTGTTGTCATTTGTCATCATACAATTTTATTTTTTTTTTTAGATCAATAATATCGTTAACTAAAACCTTGTCACCCGATATTCTTTCAATAACTAGATATGATTTGGCGTATCAAATTCTTCTGTTATAAAATATTTTATATTCTAAATATCGTATGCGTTTTCATCTATATTTTTGCAAGAAATTAATAGAAAACCAAATAAAATTCATTACTAAAGCTAAATTAATTTAAATTAAAATGAATTTAACTCTTCTGACACCAAAAATAAATATTATTATTAAGTTCAAATCAAGTATTTTACATAAAACCTTACTATTTTTCATACTAGATTTCAAAAATTTTAACTAATGTGTTAGTTTATTACAGATTTATCGGTGGTTTTTGCAATTAATAAGTCTTAAATCACAAAATTTTTAAGAATTATGCAACCAAATTTTTTTCGTTGTATTTTTGGTCACAAAAGCAATTTGTTCTTTTTGTCAAATAAATTAATTAATTTTGGTTAAATTTGATTAGTATTGAAATAAAGAAAAATAACTGAGAAAATCCGTAGTTTAAGCGCATTTTAAGATTAAAGCAGAAACTATTTCATTTTGTTTAGATTTTTGTTACAACCGAGATTAAATTTAAAATTGTTAAGGAAAATATGATTGATCGTTTAAAAAATGTTTTACTTTTTAACAACATTTATTAATCAAATAAACGTTTCTTAATAGATAGATAATTCTTGTTTGGAATATAAAAGATAACACCATTCTTAAAATCTAAAATTAGGAAAAAAAACATGCAAAAACCCAATATAAAAAAGTTAATAATGATGATCCTAAATTTGTTAGAGTTTACTGTGACGATGATGAAGCTTGCTTGGGTCAATCACATCAAACTTAGGGTTCCTAAAACAAAACACTGTATTCACAAAAACTTTTATATCGTCTATTATTTATTTATTTTTTGGCAAATAATCATCAGGATAAGAAAAGGATTTTTTTAACTCTCGAATTTACTAATAATGGATTAAAGAATAAGTGGATCTCTTCTTACTAAACATACTCAGTACATCTTTCAAGAATTTATTCATTTTATAAATATGTATAAAAAAAATAAACGGTATTACATTAATGGATAGACGGGAATTCACAGGATGTTTACGAAAAGGTAAGGCATTTGGGAACGTATCTGGAAGAAAAATGAAAATATTTTTATAAACAAAGGAATTATTATTTTATTAAATATATACATTGCAGGTATTACGTGATAATAAAACATTCAAAAACAACAAAAATCAACACGTTAGAAAAAAGAAAAAAATATTATTTGGTTCAGTAGAAACTTTACTCTTGTTTTAATTAGGTATACATTTTCAGATTATTAAAAATAATAAGCTCGCATTTGGGTTTAAGGAGTCTAATAAAAAATATGCAGGAATTCTACGAGTAGACTCTATGTGTGGTACCAATAGTAGAAAAAATTAAACAAAAAATATTAAATGAACTGCTGGATTTCAAATAGAGGGCTTCTATAGGTTTTTCCCTAAGAAGGAGCTATTTTGAAAAAAAAAAAAAATCAAATAAAGTAAATTTAAATCTATTAATTAAAATCAAATAAATTCAATTAATTTCGATTAAATTCAATTATATTACATTTGTACATTAAATTATATGAAATTCAAATAAACTCAATAAAAATCAATTAAACTTAATTTAAATACAATAAAATCAATTAATCTCGATTAAATTAATATAATATAGAATAAATAAAATAAACTCGATTAAATTTGATTAAATTCATTTAATTTCGAATAAAATCAGTACAAATTAAATTCAATTAAATTCGATAAAATCTAATTAAGTTAGATTAAAATTAAATCAATTGAAATCAACTAAAACAAATTAAGTCCAATTAATCTCGATGAAATTCAAATAAATTCTATCAAATTCCCTAAAAATCAATTTAAATTCGATTACATTTGATTAAATTCAATTAATTTAAATTATATTCGATTAAAATCTATTAAATTCGAATAAACTCGAGTACACTTGATTAAATTGATTTATATAAAAAAATTGTAAAAGGAAAAAGGGCAGACTAATTGAAATTAGATTTCTTGCTAATTAAAACTTTTCTTTTAATTCTTATGTGTGCTTTCCCTACTATTTGGTATTGTTATAATGGGAAGAGCGAGTGTAATTCAAATATATAAACAAAAGTTTGTTCCAGATTGAGCCTGCAAAGTTATTGAACCCCCATGATGCTGGTTAGTGTGTATAATGAGCTCTCATTTTAAATATGCTTATTACAAAAATAACTGTTATTCAAAATATTTGGTTTGGATATCATAATCAAAATAAGAGTAAAAAACTGTTAAGAGAAAAATTTGAAAAGGAATAACATTTATTTCTAAATTAAAACTATATAAAAAGAATAAACTAAATAAACTACAAAATTTCAAAATTAAAAATCTATAAATAAAATATTTGGCAGTCATGGCACCTTTATCATTGCCACGCATATTTACATATTTTTTTGTGTAAACATTTATTATAAATATTTTTTGCATATATGGATTTGGAAGAAAAATTTCGGAATATATGCATTGTAAAACCTATATGACGATATTTTTCTCCAAAAATTTATATATTTTGTTAAAATAATATATATTAACTTGATACTTTTATTAAAAAGCTGCTCACTTTTATCTAAAATATTATTAAAATTTTAACAAAATAGATGTTGTTAGTAAATGCTGATATGTTTTCTTTCTTTAATTTGAGTTGTTGGAAGAAAAATTAAATAATTCTAAATGATTGCAATCATAACAAAAGATTCGATACTTTTTTCATGTACAACTTTAGTAAATTATTATCATATTATTTAAATTTAATTACTATATTAATAAAGAAAATAAAGCATACATTTATTTTTATTACAAAAAACTGAATTTATTAGAATTTTTTTTTAAATAAATATTAACGTCAAAAATAAATGTATTCATTATTTTGATAAACACTGTATGTATATAACTGAGCCTTTTTTTTAAATAGATATCTATATTACTTCATAGGAAGATTTATAACATTTTCAATATATTTTTTATTAAATTCTACTTCTCTCATTCTTTACGATGTTATTTTAACATATATAATGAAAAAATTGTATCAATTAAACAATTTAAGCTCGATTAATCATATCACTACTCTACACCATTGTCGTTAAATTATATTAAAATAATGGGTAGATTTCAATTTTTAACAAAACATTTTTATGCCATTTGGAAATATTTTTGAAAATAAAGAAAAAAATCCGTGAAATCAACCCAATATTTATAAAAAGCAATTAATTTTACTCAGGCAAATGCTTAAAAAGCAACTATTAACGCAAAAAGAGATAAATTAATTCAGTAGAATTGAAAATGTGTCCAAATTAAAGATATTAATTAAAAAAATAAAGCATTTGCCATCAAATAAATTGTTCTTTTGTCTATTTACTAAACAATCTGCAAAACAATAAAGTGATTAAATAATAAGTATAAAGCGAAAACTACATGGTTAAAATCACAAATATAACAAAATGTTTGTACTAAAAAGTTATTAGTCGACACAATATTCTCAACAATGATGCAAACAAAAAAAAAACAAAAAACATAATAAAAAAACACACTTACATGTGCTCAGGATGAACTCTGATACAGTTGATGAATTCTGTGTAAGGGATTTGACCTGTGCATATTTTATGAATCGCTGTGAATAATGGGAAACTGAAAAAAAAAAATAAAATATTAATCAGATATTTCGCAAATCTTCATTACTATAATTGGTGTTATTATTCAAAATTAATTGAAACCTTCCAATGTCAATTAAATTTGAATGGTTAATCAGGCAATTAGATTTATTTTGAATCGTAAACATTTGCTATTATTACTATTATCTTTAGAAAGAAAATGTTAAAAATTAAGAAATTAACAATAAAATTATTATTATACACAAAAAAAAAATTCGTAACTATAATGCAAGGAAAACTGTATGAATGATATAAACAATATATAAATTTCAACTTCTTTGAGGTAGTTCACTCGTAAAACGGATTTTCTTAAGAATTCAATAAAATTGAAATATAAGGTTAATGAAAGTGTATTTTATGTAAATAAAAAAAATTAAATTGTTTGACAATCTGTGAAACGAGATATTAACAATCAAAATGTGCATAATTAACACTCTTGAAGCCTGTCATGTACACAAGCAATGCATTTATTTCAAGATATCTCGAAAACGGTTCTTACTATATTTTTTAAAAACTAATGTAAAGATATCGATTTTTAAAATAAAAATGTTTTTAAAGCAGTCGACGCATAGTGGCGTACAATGATTACAACTTGGCAACGTTGTAATCGATACACTCAACGCCCGGTAATTCAAATGTCTGTTAGATCAGTGGTTTCCAACGTTTTTATTGCTGCAGACCGGTCAAGTTTGATCACTTTATCGCGGTCCTCTGAGGAAGGGACGTTGTTTATATTTTAGGTTATTTTGATTTAACAATTTAAATTTAATAGTATTTAAACAAAATAACATTTAAATTTATTTAAAACAGTTTGACCAAACCCTCCCAAGTAGCACTGAACGGTTTTATTCAGTACTTCAAGGATGCTTTAAAACTGTAAAATAAAACTGCAATTAAAACCAATTAGTTTTAAAAGGAGTTTTAAGGTTGTAATAAATACGCCTTCAGCATAAAAGGTCCCACTCTGAAAGGGGTCAATAAAATAAAAAATAAAAACCACCATAAAACTATATTACCTTGAACAAGTGATTTTAAAGCTGCTGTAAAGACCCTTTTAAAACCACTTTAAATACATTTTAAACACACGCGGTTTTGAAGTGGACTTAATAATGTTAGTTACATATATACTTTTAAAGATAATTTATCTTATTGTTAACATATGAAAATAGTTTTTTAAAACTATATACATAATTCTTTTAGGAAATAAAAGCAATTTATATCTGAAGATGATAATATGGTGATGCTCTAACCATGAACTATAAAATAATAAAAAGTAAGGTAGTGATTTCGGAATGTCAGGGTAGAAATATATACTGCGCACCCGACTTTATCGATAAATGTTAACGAAAAATTCTTAAAAACTTAGGGGCCTTAAAATTTCTAAAGTTTCATAATCCAAAAAAACAAAATTGAAAATTGAAAAACTAAAATTAGAAAGAAAAATAATTTTATCTATTATTTTAGATTTTTCTGTATTAAGAGAAATCGAAATTATACGTTTAAGTGGTTAACTTGTCGTTTTTATGTAAGCCTAAATATTTTTATCTATCATGGCTTCAACCATCTCGAGAAAGTAAAATGGCCGAAAATTAAATAAAACCGTTTAGTTAATGGACAAGGAAACGTTAAGATCAAAGGGTTTTATTTAACTGTTCCAAGAACACATACCCTAGACAAAAGAAAAGTTCGCTTGTGATTTAAACAGTTTAGTTTTAATGCGGCTGTGATAAATGCTGCTTGGTTTTAATGTAAACCTAACTTTAAAATCTCCGTGTCATATCAGTCGTTTGTGTTTTGTGTATTTTTGTAGGCAATTATTGTAGGCACACCCCTGTTTGACATGATACAAAATGCGGGGTTCATTTGGGTCACGTAAAAATAGGGAATGAGTTTAATTTTATTGTTTCTAACAAGAAGTACATTAAGAAACTCTTTAAAACTATTTAAAAACTAAAACGTCACAATCTAGAACATAATAAAACCAATCAACCTGCAAGTCCTTTATAAAACCAAGTAGTTTTAAAGTTAATTGAAACTAAACCATTTTAAAACTATAACAAGACATACAAACTTTTAAGATTAATTGCCCTTATTAGATACTTTAAAACCAGTATTAAATGCTAAAGGGCTTTTAAGTGCCCGCAGTATATCTACAAGGTAACTTTAAAACCAGTATCTTCTTATTTACCACATTAAAACCATTTTAAAACTGAAATAAACCCAAAATGTTTTTATGGTGCTATTTGGGCCTGAATGGACAGCACCTTTAAATAAATAAAAATATATTAATGATAATATTTTTTTTTAATTTACCTAGAACTGCTTTAGTGTTGGCACATGAATGCTTAACCTCACTTTTTGTTGTATGAACTTTGCCCTTAAGTACTATAATTTCAATATTACATTTATTACAATTAACATTTAAAATTGAATAAAGGCCCTTTCGTACTTCATTAGTAATATTTTCAAGAGAAAGAACTCGTTCACACCAACAACATTTTAAATATTTTCCCAACTCCAGTAATTCCACGATGCGTCGACCACTGCACAGGTTATTTTTTCTCAATATTTTTGCATTATTCATAGCCAAAATTGATTTTTTGCGTTTATTGAGGACTTTCTGCTTGACAAATTTACCTTTATCTCGCAATTGATCCTGACAATGAAACATTTTGATATTTACGTTTATTTCACTTTAGGAATACAGTTGACGTTTCACAATATATTTGCGACGTTGGCGGATGGATTTTACGCGATATAATAACATATCTGTATATATAAGATTACATGTGTTGTGTACAGTCTCTTACAAAAATTTCCTTTCTTTAGCATTAAAAATCTCGAACTTTTAGTATTCACCATAGGGCGATATTTTTGTGTACGGCTGTCGTGTGTGAACTACCTTAAGGGCTAAAAATAAAAAACACTTACTCGTTCTCCATGTTCTTATTCTTCAACATATAATTAACCTCTTCAGCGGTGAAAGGTCCTTGCAGCTTCTGGCCGTTGAGCATTTCTTCTTCCAACTCTTTGATCGTTTTGCCCGTTTTTATGAAAGCTTCACTGACTTTCCTGTTTCTGCCGCCGTAACAGGTGGTTACCAAATCGGCAACGCCGCAACTTTCGAAGAACGTCGACAGTTTGCCTCCAGGGTAGAATACGTCGACGAATTTTACCATTTCCATGAGACCCAATCGGATGACGGCCGCTTTGGTATTGTCCCCTAAGCCTAGACCGTCTACGAAGCCAGCGCCACAGGCCACAATATTCTAAAAATAATAATAAATATCCTTCTTGTTTTTTATTATTGAAGAGAGTTACGTACATTGAATAAATCTCCCAATTTAATTTTTGTTTGTTTTTTATATTTAATTTCTCTAAGTGTGTGCTTGCACAGAGGCGTAATTAGATGTATTAATGGTTAAAAATATGTATAACCATTTGTATTTTAAACTACTTTATTTTATAAATTAAATTGAACGCAATTAGATAGGTTAAATATTCTTACCTTAAGAGCACCGCACACTTCGACGCTATCAGTATCATCGACGACGGTAACTCTGAAATAGTCAGTTTCGCAGATGTCTTTCAAAAGCGGCCCTAAGCTGATGTCCTTGCACCCGATCGTCGTTTCGCAGAATTTTTCATCGGCTACTTCGTTGGCTAAATTCGCTCCCATAAGAACGGAGCACGGTATTTTTAAATGGCGGGTTATGATGTGAGAAATTAGATCTATACCACCGCCTTTCGCTACATCGAAACCCTAAAAAAAAACGCTGCACTGTTATCAAAATGGTATAGAATAAATAGCGGAAAAATGTAAATAAAATGTATTCAAAATAGATAAACAGCAATAGTCATATTTTTTTTTTCAAAATAAAAAAAAATGCTTTTATCAAGAATTGAATCGACAATGGACAAATTTCAGTCCTTCTTTTTATAAAGTTCTCGAAAATGACTGTAGTTGGCATGTCTACCCAGACAGCACACCAAATCATTTGGATATCTACTGGACATCCCAATATCCACTGAATGTCCAGTCCATGGAGGATATCTATTTTATATCCATCAGATGTAATTTATAGACATGCAAATGTCTATAAATAATAGTAATTATATAGCAAATTATTAAAAAAATTACGCCATTGTGGCTAATAGTACCGTTCAGATATTTAAAATTAATTTTTTTTAAGGTGTATTCAATATCCCATGGACATCCACTAAATATATCAAAGTCTAGGCGCGAACGCAAACCATGGTGGATATCCACTAGATGTAATTTTTATTAGAGACTGGAGTAGAGAATTTCAATTTATTGCTGAAGAGCCCTAATAAGGATGACTTTCTCCTTAGTGGGTAAAATCAAAGGCAGAGTGTTGGAAATATTTTGAGTGTTGAAAATATTTTTTATCTCTGCTATTTTCTTTCGACGTTATTCAATAATCATTGGTTACTTATGAACCTCTACTAAAGATACCCATAAAATATTTTGCTGAACATCCGAATATCTTCTATATCCTGGGATATAGACGGACATTTGGATATCCATATTAGATCCACTGGATATATTGGATATCCACAAAATATATTCTGTGGATATCTCTGGGTAATGACAGCGGAGTCAATTTTCTATGTAAGTCAATTTTTTTAAAAAACTGGTGAAAAGAATCAAAATAATGTGATAAAAAGTACAAGTAACATGAGTGACAAAAAATAGCAAGATTTACGTCGTTCCAGATTGTAAAACAAGATAAAAAATCAAATGTAAAACTAAAGAAAACACAAGAAGAAATCAACTCAATATCTTTTTAAAGCTTCTAATGTAAGTAAAATAATGTATTCATGTCCAAATATAATATTTATTGTAAACTACCCCAATTGTGTCATTGTAAATGTTTTTTATAGGATACTAAACGTTTAGAACAGTGGCAGCATATATATCGTTCCTAGTGCCGATAAAGCACTTTCTAAAGATGGTGATGTTCTATACTTTTTAGAAGATATTATCAAATATTATGAGACTATTTTCACTGATGGTACTGTTAGCAAAATAAAAAGGGGAAAGCTGAAATTCAAGGATGAGGTAATACCATGTGCATTCCCAAATCTCCCTTTATACCTGTATTACAACAATAAAAAATATGTTTACTGTGTTTTATTTTACTCTTAAAACTATATATTGGTTCAATCCAAAAACAATTTTGCCACAAAATTGTACTTATCAAATTTCAGCATTTAAGAAACCTTTTCGAATTTGGTCATACATACCTAATTTGTATTTTATATAGATAAAATAATTTATCAATTAAAACATGCAAGACTTATTTAGAAATAAATACAACCGTATGCTCTGTGCTTTATTTAACTATAAACAAGTTTATTTTTTTATTTTGACAAAATTATGTATAATTCCCATAAGAAGCCATGTATTTTGAACCCCGTATGCAGTACCAGCGCCCTTGCGGTTAATTATTGAAGCTCAATTAGCATGCGCTTTTTAGGACCTTATTTTGAGAATGCCAATTCGTCTCCTTATCTCTAGTCTTCATAATGAAGGCTTATATCAAGTTAATTATCTAATCAAATATGTGACATTAGCATTTTCTACAATGGCTTTATTAAGCTACCGTCACAACACGTTCTTCTAGAAGGCAAGAATGAATGATCAATTTGTAAATTACCCCTACCATCACCTTGCCATTTGGAATTCAGTAAAAATAATAAACTGTGATTTGTATGAACAATTATTTTCTGAAATTTTAAGTTTTTTTGAATAACTTATTTTCGACTGATTCATTTATTAAGATCGCATTTATATAATTGTTATTTGTAACATAATCTTATATGCTTTGTAAGGTATCTTTGAAATTTTTAATCAAATATACATGTTTGTAAATACAAATTAACTATGCACCTTATATATAACCTTGTGTGTAACTGTGGACTGATAATTCCAACATGGTAGCATAAAATTTAATACAAAAAAAAACATCCAATTGTTGATAAATATGATGACACTTTTATTGTTGTAATCAGTATAATTGATATTTACCAATGTATTTATTTATACTGCGTTTATAGGTGTTAATTTTTACAAAAATTAAAAAAAAAATCTTTTATTTATATTTATTTTATCTTATACTCACTTTTATAAGCGATAATCCGACTGCGTTTGGTTTTATATTTCCCAATAATACAGCAGCTAATGTACGAATAAACTGATGGGGTACTACAAAAATCAAAATATCTGCATCTCTGGCTGCTTCTACTACATCTGGAACAGCAACCTACAAAATAATAACAGTAATTTTAATACAAACCGTTACTAATTTAAATGACAAAATACAGAACTCTTCCCTATCGACCCCCTACTTTACTCTCAGTAATACATACATAAAAATGTTTACATAGTCGTCAGTATTTAAACCCTTAATAATTTTGCTGTTAACGCATCGGACTAAGTCCGGTACTGTTTGTGGGCACAATTTTTATTTATTCATTTGACAAAACTGAAAACACAAATTATTTACATATTTACACCACTAACCATTTATTTTTATAGTAAATTCAATCTCATGGTATTAGTTTATTTATAAAACGAAGTAATTGATTAATTATTGAAAGTTTGTTTTTTTAGAGAGCACGACATATATGCCGACTCCAGGCATCTTTACTGTTGATCGTTTGAAAGCAGAGTGTCTATATAACGAGAAAAATAATTGTATCGTTGTAGGTGATGAGAGTGTTCTTGAGTGTGGACTGCGTGGCCAAATGGCGATATTAAATCATTGAGTGGTATTTTGCTAGAATTATTTTTAGCTCTATTGAGTGGGAAAGAAAGTTGCGATGCAAGAGATAGAATATATAACGGAATGCAGTTTGGTTTTGGGTCGTGTGAGAGCACCTCCTTCTCGAAGAAGTGTAAATGATCTGCTCAGAGCTCTCTACCGGTGAAAAATACAGCAATTTTTTCTTTTAATTAACTGACCAATCATCTTGCATAATTATGTCACCTGACTTGCGGAACATATTTTATTGGCTCTGAAAGGATGTTTATATATCATAAGAGGGTGACCCAGATAACATCAATGTTCTATGAATATACTAAGAACGTTCTGTTTATGTTCTTTTCAGTATGTCTAGAATGTTCTTAGAACATACCTAGTATATACTATGATTATATATTCTAAAAAGTATTTATTGAATACGTGCCTTAAAAGTATATTCCAAAAAGTATATACTGAGCACGTGCTATAACAGGACATTCTTAGAATACACTAAAAGTCATATACCCAGCATGTACATCATATTCTGAGAATGTTCTAAATGCTTGCAGGTAAAAATTAACACCAAATACATGTAAAAACACGTTTATATACATATCTATATGATTTTTTCCCAGATGCCGAACTGACAATTCGCTAGTATGAATTTTTTGAAATAAAGTTTAAAAAATGGTCACGACTTTCATTATATACACTTATTCTTTAATGTTCAATATTACTTAAACATCCTGTACTAGGGTGCCTAGTATATGCCTAGCATATGCTATATTTAAATACTTAACATATACTTAGAACGTACTGTACACATACTTGAAGTACATTCTCAGTATCTGTATAGCACGTATAAACAACGTCACGTAACATATGCTTAGTATATTCTGAGAATGTACTAAATGCAAATAAAGTATTTTCTCAGCATATGCGTATTAAAAAGTATATACTAAGAATATGCTAAGAATGTATAATTGTTATCTGAGGACGTAATCGTTTTGCCTGTTTCAACGTTATGAACTAATTGTACAGGGTTGGCGTAAGATGTAATGCTCAGGAGCGACACAATGTGCAATGTTAAGTGTATATCAATGGATGTTTTAAAAATATCTGGAAAAGTACCTTCAGCTAAACAATAGTTCATTTTTTCAGTAATAGGACCAATAATATTTTGGACGCAGTTCTTTAATCAGTAGGTATTAATGTTATATATAACTTGATTCTTTTTGATTGAATGTTTTGTATTTACCCATAATGTCAAATTCAGTAAAAGGGGCAAAGAAAAGTGATTGATAATATTTTTGGTTATAACAATTTAAATAATTTTATTTTTTTAGGATGCCTTCTACTGCAGCAGATGAATGATTTACAAATTTTTATTAAACATTTCTATATCGATTTCAAATTCTACTTAATTTTTATTATTACATCCTGTTTCATTAATTATTATTTGCCATACAGTTTGAAATGTATTGTCTGAATATGAGCCCCCTACGCTCAGCAAGAAAATATATCAACCTCCTACTTGCTATACATTATAGGAAAAATACTAGTTTCTTTTATCATTTCTAAAATAATATATAAATAAACACAGTTGATGATTTAGAAAATACTTTGGATAGGTTCAATTTTGAAAGTAAGCTTATTTTAATATCACAGGAATGATTTATATATTTATTTTACTAGGTGCATATAAAAATAGCCCACTATCTTTAATCAAAGTTCAAATTTTACGAAACATATTACAAAGTTGAAGATAAAAAAAGTCAAACTTAAACAAGTTATATAAAACTATAAAATTATTATAAAAACGTTTATTTAGGTATATAATATGTCATGGAATATCCTCTAATCACTAATTCTGAGAAATTAACCTTTTTGGAATGTTATGAAAGTTTGTATGTTTGGCCTTGAAAATAAACGGAAGTTATGTTTATTCATTTATTGTTAGAATGTAGTAGGTAGGTAAATACTTTTAAATAATTTTACATGCATAATATAATTAAATTACTATTACTCCTTAATTAATTAATTAATTACTATTAATTTAAAATAATATGTTTCATTACATCCACAAAAATTTAATGTGGACAAAAATGCATGTTTTTTGATGAAATGTGCAAGGCATTAAAATTTTTAACCTTAATATTTTTATCTTGGTATACATAATAATATAAAAAGTTATTCTATTATTTGCTGACATTATAAAGCAGAGCTGGGGAGCATTCGAATCCTGGGATTCGAATCATTTTTGAGGATCCGCAAGCGGTATTCGAATACTTAAGAACAAAAAGGATCCATGATTCGGATTCGCCGAGAAAATCCTTAAGGATTCGTATAACCAATGTTAGTCTTGGATCCTTTTAGAGACCAAACAACGCCGGCGCGAACGGTCGACTCACGCTTTACTTGTCGCGAAGTGTAAACTGAAACAGACTGAGACTGAAGACCGATTGTTAATATTTAGAAGATAAACGCAACAATCTACAAATTAATGTCAATGAAGGCAGCAGAGCCCCTAGACAATTTTGAGTTGAAACCTATGTTATACTTTTAGGCTATTTTTATACCCTATTCAAAAATTTTATGCTCCTCGTTTTTGCAAAAATCATGGTTCTCTGCTAGCTTCGAACAAAGCCATCAGAGCACATCGGTTTTTTAAAGCTTTTTTTTTAACAACCACATTACGTTTTTAGGCTATTTTTAGGCTCTTCAAATATTATAAAACTTTACTAAAAAAATTGCTATTTATAAATAATACAGGGTGCTTTGTTGGAACAAAGTTAGCAGAGCACCTCGGTTTATTATTTTTTTTGAAACATCTACGTATGTCACATGTTTAAGCTATTTTAGGTTCTTAAAATATTATAAAACTTTTCGAAAAAAATAGTGTTTTTAAAAAAATACAGGGTGCTTTGTTGGAACAGAGATGCTTTGCTGACTTCGTTCGAAACTAGCAAAGCCCCCTGTATTTTTTTAAAATAATATTTTAACGAGTCTAAAAATAGCCTAAAAATATTGTGTCGTTGTTTTTGGAAAAAACTTAAAAAAATGAGGGCCTCTGCTGACTTCGCTTGAAGCTACCAGAGCACCTTAATTTTTGCAAAAAAACGATTAGCATAAAAATAGCTTTAAAATAGCCTCTAAAAATATGGCATAGGTTTCAACTCAGAATTGCCTAGGTGCTCTGCTGCCTTCTTTGACACTACAAATTAGCAACGAATATCCAACATAAATTTAACACTTGCCTTCCTTCGTCTGGTGCAGTTCAACAATTATTTTTGTTTGCAGGTATAATCTACGCACCTCGAAGGAATGGCCTGACTTTCAAATTTTGGTGCTATGTAAGGCCAACCAAAAGACATTAATTTTAATTTCACTATTTGATTATTTTGTTTTTTGTATTAAAATAAAATATATTTTTTGTAGATTCTAATTTATTTATGGTTCATATTTATAGAAGAAAAAAAAAATAAGTTTATATTTTTCAACATCTTCTTGTATCAACCATTTGTATGCAAAAGTCATAGTCTGTAATGGACATATAGTTGAAAAAATGGATTCGAATCATTTGATTCGAATCCTTTTCTATTGCAAAAAGGATTCGGTCATAGGATCCATGATTCGAATCACATCTCGTGATTCGGATTCATGATTCGAATCAATTTTTTGAGGATTCGTCCCAGCTCTGTTATAAAGTTTAGATTTGATTTAATGTAATTAATTATATAATTCAAGTAAAATTTCATAATTATTATTAATTTATTCTATTAAGAAATATACCTATGCATTAATATTAACACATTGTTTATTTTAAAATAAGATTTATAATTTGTAGGAAATTGTTTTTACATAATATGTAAATTCATGGTTTGGAGGTCTAATAAACAAAATATACACTAGATTTTTATCAATAATATATTCTATAATTTTTTAGCCCATGCATTTGTTTTACATAATAAATTACATTTTGATTTTAAAATTTAAAATAGTCAGTATCACCCAATCCCAAACTATAATGTCAATGCCAAGTTCTAAGATATTGAAGTAAACAAAGCTGTATATAATTTATTTTTGGCTAGTCTTATAGTTTAAGAATGCTTGATTATATTCTCTACCTAGATGATAACATGTTTTAATTTGCACTATCAGGTTATTGTTATTATTATTGTCTCTTGATTGCCAAAGCGCAATTAATACATAATCATTATTACAAATATTGAATAAATACTCTTATCTAGTTGAAGTTGACTGAACACTTGCCTGCCAAATGTAGTTTTGTTTACATGGATGAAATTATTTATTGTTCATGCTGTTACTTTTATGTGTCATAATGACCCACCACTTGTATGAAATTTGTATTTAGGATTTAATATGGTGTTTTGTTCGTTCAAAAAAATACTTTACAAACTTTGTGTGTGAAAACATCTTCCACGTACTTGGTTCGTAAATACTTACCACATTATTTGGTAACTTGTGGCCGGGTAAATATTTAACGTTTTCATGAGTCTCGTTGATGATTTCAGTCAATTTTTTGCCGTTTATAATTTCTTCATAAACGTACATGGTAACTTTGTCGTCAATATGGGCATGTCTTTGAGCATTGAAACCGACGATTTTTGCAATTGTAGAACCCCTGAAAGAAAATTATTTATGTATTAATCAAAACTCAAATTTGTCCTTTTTAGATGATTTGTATTTTTATACAAAAAAAAAAATACAAAAATAATTTAAAATTGTAAAATATTTGGTAGAATACAATAGGATCTCGTCCTTTTTGAGAAACTTCCTCTGCTTTAAATCTGAATTAACCATGCAATAAAATCCAGAACTATTGGCGGCAATGAAAACCGATTAGCTTAAGAGCTGTTTGAGGTTCATATCGATTAAAAGTTCATACCCTAAATGCTAGAGAGTCAGTGGTCGCTTCTAGTATTGGTAAAGAGTATAGCAAGCGTCCATTTTCTATCCAAATTCGATGTACATATGACTTTGAAAAGACATCCTATTACGTCTTATTGTAGATCGTAGTTAAAGAGAAAATGTCATTGTATCTCATAATTTGTGATTTGAAGTATATAAAAGGTAGTAGTTAGTATACTCTCCGTAATGAAATTATGTTCAATTTGCATTTGTTTTGATTTTGTTGTTTTGGTAAATTGTTAAAGTAATCTAAAAGCATACCTATTATGTTATTCAAAAAGACCAAGACTACAAAATTAGATTAAGCAGAACCGGAGTTACAGTTTGAGTTAATTTTATTTTATGCTTTTTCACTTTTAAAACAACCTTAAAAGAATCTAGCAGTGAGCAAACACAGCGCCGGACTTTATTATATGATTTAATAAGATCATATTTTGTTTGCCTACATTAGGTATAGGGAATATCTTAAAAGGGAATAAACAAATTTTATAAAATATTTTTTTTATAAAAGGCATTTTGAGCTTAATAATTATTCTTTAATTATAAAATACATTATTTGTAAAATTAATTAAGTAAATCGAAAACAAAACAATTAAATCATGAATTATCATTACAGCTGTCATCTTCATTTGATGTGTCTTCCAGATTTATGATGCAAAAATGAAATATTCGATAATTATTTTTAATTTTCTGGACATAGCAAATACAATTGGTCCATATTACTGGAGATATTCCTGCAAAAACTTTTCGTATGACATCAACACAGACATTTTAAGACAATGTGATATTTCTCTTTCTTACCCCTTACCCCCTTGATATTACTTCAAATCAATTCAATACGACTGAATCTGTAATAATATGTTGGCAAACTTATAACGGCAAGACTGAATCTTTTAGCCATCTGATCAACAACATATATGGGTTTGAGATTTAATCCTGTCAATATAGCCAACAGATATTTTTTTAAAGTTGTGGGAGGACATGTTACACCCATATTCTTTAAAAATGAAGATATAACATATTTGTGAGCTTTTGGTATTTCACCCGTTTGTCAGGAATGGTACAGGGCATTATTCATGACTACAACACATTTGATAGAAAATTCGGTATCAGTTGTTGTTCAAACCATTACTCGAATAAGCTGGAAGACATATCTTCATGATAATCTGCACAGCAATTCAAGATGTTCTTTGCTGATAATAACAAAGAAACGCTTAGGAGATTCTTCAGTTCATCATGAAATTTCAGTTTCAGGTGAATACATATTTAAAAATTTAGAAGGTTAATTGTCATGTGAAACATATATGATTCACTCAGTCTTGCCACCAGGATGATGTGTGATTGGTATATAAAACATTATTGATTTGTAAATCGAGTACATAGAATTATATTCACTGGAACGCAGTCGGTATATGTGATCTCAAAAAGTCGATAGTCTCTATATTTTACGATTTGGGAAATATCGCTGAGCTATACAAATAATTAGCGAACAAATAAATTAAACAAATATTTTTTTACTATCTTTAATATTAAATGTTTTTATAAAGATTATAAAATAAAAACACAACGTAAATAATATATCAAATATCTAATAATAAAATAAAAATAGAAATAAAGCATTCAATACAATAAAACAATTCACATTTTTTCGAAGTTGTATAGACTTTTATTAATGTTTATTCAAATCATATTTTTAGAAGGTAAATTTTGTATAAATACCTAGTTTGGCATTAAGTTACGCCCTCTAGCGATCATTTTACGATTTTCTAAATAATTTCCGGTTATTTTTATTGAACCACTCTGTACTTAACTTATAAAACATTTATATCAGACATAAATAATCCTTTTTATCACTTATTTGTATAATTTGTGTATGTTTCAAATAATTTATGGAAATAACCATAATAAATTATACACACATTCGAGTTACCTATTAATTTATGAATTACAATTAAAACAGTATTTATAAAAATCTGAAATTAAAAAAAAAACAGAAATTAAATGTATAAATACCTATATATTTTTAGAAATAAATGATATTTAAGTACTTATATAGAAAAAAGAAAAAACCAACCCTGTTTTTCTTAATAAATAATTTTTCTACTCATATTTTATTAATATCTACACCTAAATACAAAAATTTTGATATTTTATTGGATCTATAAATATTACTCGTAGGTAAAAAGCAGGTAATTAAAAAAGTTAATTTCCTGTTTTATGACATAAAAAATGATTTTAATTATTTCTGATTGTACATTCTATCAAGATATAAAAGGCTGAGAGGATTAAGTAACCCAGTGAAAAAACCAATACAAATTCAAGGTTAAAATTATCTAACATGCGAAGGTATGTATACTAAAAATAATGTTAGGTTAGAATACGCTGCGAATGAATGAAAATTAAATAAAAACAATTAAAAAATCAATTTACCAGTTGCCACTTCCCACAACACACACTCTTTTTGCAGTTTTGGTATCTCTTAATGCCATTGTCACAGTTTTTCGATTACAATTTGACGGAAATGAATTGACCTGCCGTTTCTCACTGCCTTCTAAAGCGCACTGCTTTTGATTTTCCTTTTGAAACCTCACATCAACTGATATCGGTAGACAACCGTGATGACGTTGAATTTTGATAAGTACATTTTTGATAATATAATTTATTGAAACATTTTTAATCATAAGGGGAGGTCACTGTACAAATAAGATTTTGTACAAATAAGTTGCGCAATGGAATTAGATGGATTTTTGAATTTTTGGTAGATTTATTATACTCCCACACCTAAGTTTTAACTAAATCGGCCTTTTCAAAATTAGCTCATCAAACTTTTGTGTTTTGATTTGGTTAGTAATTATTATTTATTATCCACTGTAATTGGCCTTCATGAAAGCATTTTCCAAAACATTATTGATTTTCTTAATATTAGGTAAATAATGATAAAAATGATAATTTTGCGGATATAGATACCTTCAGTGGCTTTAGTACCTACGTATCTACCTAAAGAAAGATGAAATAATTTGCCTAGGTACCTATTTATTACCTACAAACTGATATAAATTCAAATTAAGTAGGTACTTTTTTGGAATTCATTGCTGTTCTGATCTGAATGCTGATTGTTTTATTGCTACTTGCTACCATCATTGCATTTTAGACATTTGAAAAAGCTAACATTTTTTAATACGTATAGCTGAGATAGGTACCTATCCATAGAAAAATTAAAGGTATAGCCATAGATAAATTAATAAATTATTAATTTATCTATGGGTTTGCGCCGTTTGAGGTGGATCTAACCTTAGAATATATATAGTCAGGAAGGAGTAATCCTAAACGACCTTGGAATCGCGTTAGTATCTAATTTTGACAGTGAACTAGACGAATATGGTGACAAGTGTTTCCGGTCTACCAGTGACGTACCGTCATAAAGGGACGTAGAAAAGAAAATAATAAATTCTCATTTGCATATTATCTAAATTTACCGATTTCTCTTATTTTAACGAATTGCTATTTTCTTGCGAGAAGTTTGCATTTTTTTTTATTAACCTTCATTATGTGAATAAATTTTACTTTAAAATTGCATGTTGGGTGGGATAAATATAGGAAAATATTTATGGAAGAAGATTAAAATGACATTTTTACATTAACAAATGTAATTTTAACACAACGGTGTAATCGACCCTAAACTTGGTAAATATCTTAGAACATATATAGTTAAGAAGGAGCATGCCATGTCCGCGTTAATCTAATCGATCTGACGGAAGTGGTAGCCATGTTGCACTATGGATGACTCATCAACATATGATAAATGGTTTCTAAAATTGGTTTATAATTTTAGTGATTAAAATTTGTTAATAATTTGGATGTTTTATGCGTTAATTTAAACTTTTATCAAGCGTATGTTTTGTAGACATTTTTAAAAAGTGTTTGGTGTTTTAGTATTTATTTAGTATTACTGTTAATTTTAAATTTTCCGCGTTAACAGACAAACAAGACAATATGGTCAGTTGTTCGTCTTGTGGATATAGCAGCACAACTAAAAGTAGAAAGGTACAATCTACATTTCATAAGCAAGTATTTTGTTCTCTCAATTTTCAACCACATTAAATATTTTTTAAATTTTTAATGTTTTAAATTTGTAAACAAACATGGTAAGTGCGTCTGCGATCAAATGTGCTCATAGGCGTAGTCTCATGGTTTATACATACTTTTATTCTAACAATTCTTTTATGTAATTTTAAGATATTTATGTGGTTTTTAAAATGAATAAATTATTGTTCAATTTAGATTTATAAATTGATTGCAAGTAAACAATTTTCAGATTTCTTAAAGATTATAGATTTACAAATTATATAAATGAATCCCAGGTAGACAATTTTCAGATTTCCTAAAGATTCTCAAAAAACAAAGTTATGGCTTGAGTTCATGCAACAAACAAATTGTGAGCCAAAATATCTTAATATTTTGTGTTCACGCCATTTTAAACAAGATTGTTTTGATCGAACCTCAAAACCAAGAATAAGACTTCTACAAACAGCTGCTCCAACAATAAAAGTGGTCCGGTTGAAATATATAAGTAAATAAATTCTTTACTAACTATATTATGTGCCGTTTTTTTCATATAGTAGAAGTTTATTGTATGAATATGATGCACCCTATATAATTTATTGCAAAGTTATTTACAAAAACGAACACAAATAGAATTAATAATATCTCAAGTAAGGAAATAAGTAGCATATCGCATGGCTCAAGATACTATCTTAGGTCCTATCTTGTTTAATTTTATTTTAAATAATTTGTCGTTTAAATACAGATAGAAATATTGTAAGATTTTCAGACGACACAGTTATTCTGTAAAATGCAGAGAACTGGAATTGATTAAAATTATTAATAGAAACAGATCTTATAAAAATTTTCGAATGGTTTAATTATAAAAACTTACAAACCTTTGATAAAACTTATGTTGTTCCATTATACAGTTACAAAAAGATTGCCTCTTCGTATGAAACAATAAAAGATAACGTTCAGTAATTTCATATAAGTATTACAAATGATATCAAATACCTTAGAGTACAAATTGACTCTCATCATAACTGGACTAAGCATACAAATAATGCGTTGAATGTACATTTAAAAATAATATATTTTGCACTCATAGAATCATTATTACGTTATAGGAAGTTTTATATGTACTCCAACAAAAACATCTAAGAAAGAAATATCACAGCGGTGTTTGACCTAAATATAAGTATAGGATATTTAATTTTTTTAACGTATAGGTATCTAGAAAACATATTTATTTTTCAAAACTTAATAATTTGTAAAATGTAGATTAATAAAGACATTGTCATAATAAAAACGTAAAAAAGTCAATATTTTTTTTAATACATTATTGCTTTGATTTTTCAAATTTATCCCAAAAAAATTTTCCTATATTTATCCCACCCAACATGCAATTTTAAAGTAAAATTTATTCACATAATGAAGGTTAATAAAAAAATGCAAACTTCTCGCAAGAAAATAGCAATTCAATAAAATGAGAAAAATCGATAAATTTAGATAATATGCAAATGAGAATTTATTATTTTCTTTTCTACGCCCCTTTATGACAGTACGTCACTGGTAGACCGGAAACACTTGTCGCCATATTCGTCTAGTTCACTGTCAAAATTAGATACCATCGCGATTCCAAGGTCGTTTAGGATTCCTCCTTCCTGACTATATATATTCTAAGGTAAATATAGGCGGTGTAGGAGGAACCATCATATGTCAATTGTCAACTAAACGTCAATTACCCTATTGTTATCTAGTGCTTTTCTCTATGTGAATTCCGAAGGGATCCGAGTAATATATTGATTGTATGTTGTGCGTTATTTCGATCAATTAACAACTAGGCTTCCGATTTAACTATCATCTTTTGGGGTCCGATGGGCGCATCGAATTTTGAAAATCCGCCTGAATTGTTCATATATAAATGCGATTTTTTAGTTCTTATGTTTTGTTTATCTTCGGCACAGAACAAATCTTCGGTTCTCAATCTAGAAAATTTATTAGAGTTATCAATAAAAAAATAAGAGAAGAAGAGCTTAACCTAACTTATTGGTTTTTAATTTTAATATCAACAAATAGAGCAAATATGTTAAATTTAAATTGATATATATTAGCATATAAAAGTATTAATTATGGCTAGTAACCATCAAGCTCTCCCTGTTTCTACCATCTTGAAATCCAAAACCGAAATAGAAGATGAACCCAAGAAAAAATCTAGGGAAGACTGGCGTAAGGCGAAAGAATTGGAAGAGGCTCGTAAAGCTGGTACAGCGCCTGCAGCAGTCGATGAAGAAGGTAAAGACATCAACCCTCATATTCCCCAGTACATTTCAACGGCTCCTTGGTACTATGGAACCGCTGGGCCCACTTTAAAACATCAGAGACCCCAAGAGGACAAACAGAGGGAATTTTCCGGGTTAGATGATTGGTATAAGAGAGGAGTAGATACAGTAAGTACAAAATATTGAATATTTTATATATACCATAGTGGATTTATTTTATATTTTAGTCAAAAATAGTTACAAAATATAGAAAAGGTGCTTGTGAAAATTGTGGAGCAATGACTCATATAAAGAAGGATTGTATGGATAGACCTAGAAAAGTAGGTGCGAAATTTTCAGGAGCAAATATAGCACCGGATGAGTTTACTCAAAAAAATTTGGCATTGAGTTTTGATGGTAAAAGAGATAGATGGAGTGGGTGAGTAAAAAAAATATTATTTAAGCTAGCTGTTACGTCAAACTTTATTACAGATATGATCCTTCAGAGCATAAAGCTGTAATAGAAGAGTTTCAAATAGTAGAAGAAGCGAAACGACAATTAAAGGCAGACAAATTAAATGCAAATGAATCATCCGAAGATGAAGAAAAGGACGAAGATAAATATGTAGACGAAGTTGACATGCCTGGTACAAAAGTAGACAGTAAACAAAGAATTACTGTCAGAAATTTAAGAATAAGAGAAGACACTGCGAAATATTTAAGAAATTTAGACCCTGCTTCAGCTTATTATGATCCAAAAACAAGATCAATGAGAGAGAATCCGAATCCTGAAAGAGATGAAACGTAAGTGATAATATTTTTACCATATTTTATCCAATCAAAACTTTTTTATTAGATATCATGGTGAAAACTTTGTGCGTTTCTCTGGTGACACAACGAATCACGCAAGAGCTCAACTATTTGCTTGGGAAGCTCACGAAAAAGGTGTAGATGTTCATCTACTTGCAGAGCCCACTAAATTGGAGTTACTGCAAAAAGAATACGAAAAGAAAAAAGATGAAGTTAAATCTAATATTCAGAGTACGGTTTTGGAGAAATATGGGGGCCAGGAGCATTTGGAAGCTCCACCTAAAAGTTTATTGTTAGCTCAGACTGAACAGTATGTGGAATATTCAAGGTAAGTAATATAAAAATAATTTAAGAAATAATAATTTAATTCCTTAAATATTTATAGGGCTGGAAGAGTCATTAAAGGAGCCGAAAAAGAAGTTATTCTATCTAAATATGAAGAAGATGTTTATATAAATAACCACACTTCAGTTTGGGGTTCGCATTGGAGAGGAGGACAGTGGGGATATCGGTGTTGCCATTCTTTCATTAAAGTAAGTTTCAAAATGCATTGTCTAAGATAAGGAACAAAATATCATTATCCTTATCATTAGAACTTTTTTCATCCAAAAATGATTTCCCAATTCGTTTATATATCTTTTGCTCACTTTATGTAGTTTTTTAAGAAAGATTTTCTTATTGGAAGTCTGACATGATAACATTTTCTACAAAATTGCCAGTATAATTTTTTTGTCAGACTAATACTTTACGTGTTACAGATCAAATTATTTAAAATTATGGTAAAATGGCATTTGCTTGCTACTTTTTTTACCTATTATCCATTCATTCGCTTACCCCTAGTAATTTCTTGCAATAAAATAATAAAAATCAATTATTATACCATTATCTAATTTTAAAATAGTAATTTAAACAAAATATAGCAAAAAAGCCATGTATATAGTCATAACCTCCAAACCACAAATGCCCTGAACATCGAGATTATAAGCTTAAGTTGACATTAGTACATATCCGCCATTTGTTCTAAAAACATTATAAACATTTAGTCCTTAAGTTCATAATGTTTCATGTATGCTACACTTCATTTATAGTTCTTACTTCTTTCACATTTAGGCATAATAAAACTAACATCTATATTAACTCGTTTAAGTATTAATTACGTAATATTGCATATTTGCTACAATTACATTTAGTTAACTACTCTTAATATTTCCCATATTTAGACATATAACTAACAAATGGTTTAAGCCTTAAATTTGTAATATTTTTTATTTGTTACACATCAATTACAGTTAACAATTTAATTTTAACACTTAATTTTACACAAAACTAACAAGAATTCCCCATATTAACTCCTTTAATGTTTTTTTTTTGTGTCATCGGCATCAACTGCTATGGTTATTAGCCTCGTGTTCTGTGTAGGCTTTGTTACTGTTTCCAAGCGCCACTTTAGGAACATCACTGTTAATTAGTACCCAACAGTGAATGGTCGAGTAAATGCGAAATGTTTCATATCTGCTAAACAAAAAATATCGCATAATTTTGTTACTTTGTATTTTTTAATTCTTGTAGAATAATTGTTATTTTCATTATTTTTGCCTCTTACACTTTGTTAATTGAAATCAAATAAATCACTGTTAAACATTCCTGAATTTCATTACTTGTCATTTTCAAAAAAAATTTAGGAGATAATCAAAACTTTTCACTTATGTGATACTTTTGTGACGAGTGTAATTGACTATTTTTTAGACTTCTCATATCTCATATTTAAGTATTAATCTAATTTTGTATATCTGCTGCATATCAGTTAGTTAACTAGTTATCCCACTTCTCATATTTGCTCACAAAACTAATAGGTGGTTCCCATAATGACTAGTTTGAACCTTAAACTTGTAATGTTGCATATCTGCTACACAACAATTATAGTTAACTTTCACATATTTAGACAAAACTAACAAATGATCTCATATTAAATTGTGTGTCTTAAATTCGTAATGTTGCATATCTACTATATGTCAATTACAGTTAACTGTTTCTTACACATGCCATATTTAGACATATGGTCACCATATTAACTTGTCTAAGACTTAAATGTGCAGAGTTGCATATCTGCAATGCAATATTTATAGTTAACTACTTTTTACACTTCCCATATTTAAGCATTAAACTGTCATATTAACCCATTTAATCCTGAAATGGGTAATGTTGCACATCTGCTACACATCAATTATTATACTCTTTACAAAAAAGTATTGCATATTTCTTTTACTTTATATTTTTTAATTTTTGTAGAATAATTGTTGTTTTCATTATTTTTGCCTGTTATTCTTTAATTTTTAATTGAAATCAAATAAGTCACTGTTAAACATTTAATCTTGCAATTCAAAAAAGATAAATAAAACTGTTAGTTACAATTCACTTATGTAATATTTTTTGTTTAACTACTTTTTAGACTACCCATATTTAGGCAATAATTTAATGTTGTAAAATCTGCTACATATCAATTAGTTGTTCTATTTCTCATATTTACCCACAAAACTCAATAGATGCTCCCCATAATAACTCGTTTGTGCCGTAAATGCGCAATGTTGCATACGTGCTACATTTCAAATATTGCTTACTACTTCTTACACATCCCATATGTAGGCATAAAACTAACAGATGTTCACATTAACTGGTTTGTCTTAAAGGACCCCAAACTTTTTACATTGATTTTGGGTACTGTCAGAATGTACAAATTTTAGTATGTTACTTTTAAAAACTAAGGTGTGCAAAATTAATATTTTCATATATATCACTGCCACTCTTAAGTAATTCACGTTTTTTTCATGAAACTTATGGCAGTGCGGCACAATTAAAAAGCAAAATATAGTAGTTTTTCTACATTCTTTGGTCCTCCTCAGTTTCATCATTAAGTTTTTCTACTTCTCTTAACCTAAAAACTATCGTCTCTTGCCAAATATCTCCCAGATATCATGACATCAAAGTCACTACATTATTCCCATTAGACCACATACTTTGATTACTATACGAGACAAGAGAGAGGTCCGACACGCCCAACATAGGGCGCGGCCATTTTGAACCCTGTGACACAGTTTACAGCTAAAGAATCAGATCGCTCACTCTGCGTCGGTACTTTGGATCTCAATGTTTCAGTTTATACACTGTGCAACTCGGATAATACAATATATGACAACCGCCTATAATAAAACAGCAGTCTTCTGCGTATCTTGAATTTGTATCCCTGGAGTGGATGTTATTTTGGAACTTTCAACTGGTCCGAGTGAAATAACTGATTCTTTAGCAATAAACTGTGACTTCAAAAATAATATTCAAGCAAAATATCAGGTGCGTTTTAATCATCCGCTTCTGCTTCCGGAATTGTCGGTTTAGTCGTTTTAACCTGTCAGATTAAAACAAGAAAACCGACAATTCCGAAGCAGAGGCGGATGATTAAAACGCACCTTATAAAAATATTGCGCCAAGATGTAGGCAACACGTAATAAGGGTTCAAAACGGCGGAGTTTTCTATCTCCTTTTAAAAGGCACTCAGAAAGCTGCGCAGTGTGACCATTCTCCGTATAGTAAAAGAAAATCAAAGTATGTGCATTAGGCATTCCAACGACCTGTCAAAATGCTGACAAGGGGGAACTGACAGTTTAGATATGGCAACCATGTGGGCTTGTTGTCATTGACAGGGTCAATGCTACATATATAGTCATATAGATTGCTCAAAGCGGATCGTTTGCGAGTGGCCATATTCATATTCACCAATTTTCAGCCTTTGATATCATAAATCGAAAAAAAAAAAAAAATAGAGTAAAGAAAATAATATTTTACTATCGTCTATTTTGAAAAATATGGATGATCAATCTATATAACTATCTATTTCATTGGCCCTGTCAAATCAACAGGCCTACAGGTTTGCCATGGCCATAATGTTGCCATCAGATATTATACTCTGTTTTTAAACTAAGAGGAGCGATTTGAATTTAAGTTGGCAATTCTGTAGCCTTCTGATTGGTCAGATTACAGTCAGTTTCACACATTACTTTTTAGCATGAACATCAGCTAATAATTGATATTGTTGACAGTTTTGACATTTTATAATTTGATATCTCATCCATTACTTAGTTTTTACTTTATTTCGTAAATAATAGTTCTTCAGTAAGCAATTGTATTGAAAATCTACAATTATGGATCCTTCTACACTGAGTAATATTAAAGGTAGCAATTCCTGAAAAGCCTAACAAGAAAGGGAAGACACCTTATTATTTTACATGCTGATTCTGAAGGTTTTGTAGAAAATGCATTATTGGTTTTTGAAGGTAAAAAGATGGGAGATTACCATGAATAAATGAATTCGGAAGTATTTTAGAAAAAAATAATTTTATTACTGATTTTTTAAAACTAAAAATTGATGAATTTCTAACCAAAATGATTAAAATGTAACTAAATATTCAAGCAAATTTTATTTATTAGAATAGAATAAAACTATTTACAAAATTGTTATAACATTTAAAATACCATCTACTACTTTAGGGATAATCTTAATTTGGCACAATGAGTTAACATTATTTTCACAAAAAATATTTTAAAAATACTTAAAACATAGGTATGTATGAATAGTTCACTTTAAAAAATGTATGTTGACATGTAGTGTTATGAAAATGTTGGTTCCAGTTTTCAAAACAAATTCTGACTCATAGGCCTGTAAACTTTTGAATGCCTTTATTCGCCCTCTAGCGCATTAACCATGGGTTAACACTAAATAAGCCATAATATCCACATTGCTCATAGAAGAGATACCAGTTACTGTGTGATCCACTTGTCATTCACTGATTAACTTTTACTTTTTATACCTATAACAAATATATCCTTAAAAATGTAAACAGATATTTATATTTTATACTAACCTGGCTACATCTGGATATTCCATTAACAATTTTCTTAAATATTTATTATTCATTTTAAAAAGATCATAGTTATTCTCAAAAAGTCGATTTCAAAAGCAAGAAAAAAGTATTTCTGACATCAATCAACAACCATATTGACTTTAATTTGACAGTGACATTTCGTTTTAGACACACATTTCAGATCACAATAATGTGAAATTTGCGACCGTTGTCTGGGACCAATTAAAAAATTACTTCTATGACATTTATTCGTTTCTTGACCGCTCATTGGCCGTTCACCGACTAAGGCCGATAAAGATAATTATTTCATACATTTTGAACACGACTATATTTCGAAACTCGCTCTTAGTAACAAATCTAGTTACTTTTCCCTGTGTAAATGCGTCTTTTCAATTCGCTCCTCTTAGTTTAAAAACAGAGTATAGGAACATAAAGATTGGAAACGCAACGACCGCAGCAACAATGGTGTCATCTAGCGTCTCAGATGTTAACTACAGGTCTACGTCGTTTGTAGAGAGACCAGTGTTGCCAAATATTTTTTTTGAGAGATCGTACAAGTATAGTAGAAAAATGGCATTTCGACAAAAAAATGTACAATAGATACATGCATAGCATAATATAACTTAAATGGAATGATAAAAAAAAACTTTGGCATGATAATTTATTTATCTATTTATAAAAAATTTTACAACGAAAAAAAAAAAAACTAAAGAAAATACATGAAACTTTAAATTAACACATTTAAAGTAATCAATGATTGTCGCTTGAAAGTGATTGAAATTTTGCATGCAAGCTTTTCTTATGCCGTGATAGTCGGTGTACAAAATCACCATGATCAAAATCACGATAAGTCAGAACGAAAATGACTGCCTGCAGAAATTACGAACGGCCTATGAATCTTTGCAAGTAGTTTTTGAGTTTTATTGTTTTATGTTCTGAAGTTGTTGCAGATATTTAAATATTTTTACATACGATCAAGGTCTGTGGTACGATTTCACTGATGTAATCATACATCGTACAGAGAGTTAAAAAATCGTATAAATACAATTTAAATCGTACGGTTGGCAACACTGAGGTAGACAGTAGACGTGGACAGCAGTGGACAGTTTGTAAATATAAATGTCAGTTAATGTTATGTATATCGAAGAATCCTGAATTTAAATTTTAAATTTTGAGTTCATGATTGTGTTATCCTCTAGATGAACTAAGCGAAATAGTTGTGGCTGTTTTTGTGTGAAATTTAAGGACAATAATTATATTTTGTAATATTACAATAAGTTGGGGAACGTATTGCATTAGTAACACATGCCACATGAACAAAGTACGTAAGATCTATTCATGTAAGTAACACAAATAGTAATCAACTTTTGTCACAAAGTAGGTATTTATGTGTTATTTATATTTTTAGAACAAGAAAATGGCTTCAAAACGTTAGAAAGATTTGATATAGGACGAAAAATATCTGAATTCCCGTTATTGAATTTGCACTCAACATTTTTAAATCATTGGCCATTCGTTTGGAAAATAAAAACAAAAATGCAATGTTACAAATAACAATCAAAAATTAAAAAATATTTTTCATGAATATAGATTTACAATAATTAATCGATAATAGACTGTAAGTGTAGTATTCTTTTTAATAAATAATTTAGCGTAATTAAATTATTTAAGTTTATTTAAAAGAAACATGAGAGTGCAGTCGATATTTATATAACCTTTATTATCAGGTTTTTAAATTTCCCGCCGCCTTGTTTGATATCGATGAAAGCGCCACATAGTGGGTCAGATGTTAACTGCGATAAAGCTGGTCGTTGTTAAGCATTGGCTTCTTGTGGGTGTTTCCCTGCGTTTCCTATCTTTTTCTCCCTTATCTCTGGTTGCCATATAATAACATGTCAAAACCCACTGGTAGCCATTTTGTTTGGAATGCCTAATTCGGATCGTTTACGTTTAGGACATTCTGAGTGTATTTTCACTTCTTTTTCATATAGATAAACGAGGACACAAATATACTCCTTACATACTGCCACTTCCAGTGAAAACCGTTATATATTTTCGTTCCTTTCAAAATATTGAGAAGACAAAGAATGTAAATCTTGGTTCGTCTCTGATTTGTACCTTCTAAACTTGTTATTGAACCTGTATTAAGTTTTGGAATACATTTTTGGATAATTTGATTTTCATAAGTTACATTCATAGTTTAAAAATATATCTAAATGTTCGTTGAAGAACATACTAAAAACTCCAGAATATAAACTAAAATTTGCAAAATTATAATAAATTTTCCACATCGAAATAAGTTATTTGTAAACCGAAAATAAACTTGCAGCAGGGGTCTGCAACTTTTAATTTTTAAATTAGATATAAATTTGTGTTGTTAAACTTATATAAAGTTTTCCAAAATTAATTTATGAAAAAAAAAAAATGTCTGCTAATTTTATTTTGCAAATATACAAAAATAAGATTGCTTCAAGTTTAAAAACAAAAATTTTCTCTTAAAAACTTAATAAAAACTTCCGGTTATAAATAAAAATTTGAAAACTTGTAATAAATTTTCCATACACTTACGAAATAAGGTTTATTTGCAAGCCGAAAATAAACTTGCAGGAAGTGTTTGTAAGTTTCTATGTTTAGTGGGGTATACATCTTAAATTGGTAATGTTGAATATCTGCTACACATCAATTGTAGTTAATTATTCCCATAATTATTCATAAAATTAACAGATGGTCCCTATATTAACTCGTTTAAGCCCTAAATGCCTAATATTGTATATTTGGCAGTCATCAATTATATTGTTTATAGTTAACTGCTTCACATATTTAGGCATAAAACTAACAAATGATTCTATTTTAATTTGTATGAGCTTTAAATGTCCAATATTGCATATTTGCTAAAGATCAATTGTTATAGTAATTTACTTAAGCCTTAAATGCGTAATGTTGCATATCTGCTACACATTAATCACCTTTTCATTTCACTTAAAACCATTTGCAAGAACGCTTGTTAAAAATTTCAATAAATAATAATGATCCCATAACTTTATTAAACTGCATAATTTGAAGTTCTTTCAAAGTTTATCAGCGGCTATAAACTAATGAACGTTGTTGCAACCGAATGTTAATTTTCTATATTAACGGTTGATTTATGACATATTTTTATATCGTTATTTATTTCAGAATTCGTACTGTTTGGGAGAAGCAGGAAAATCCGTTAATGTACAACCCATAGTGGAATCGATTTCCAATGAAGAGGAAATTGGAAAACCTGTTGGAGATGTGCAAGAAAAGGAAAAGAGCAAAGAAAAGGACGAGGAAAGTGAAGAAAGCGATTCGAGCAGTTCGTCAGAAGATAATTCAAAAGTGAAAGCGCAGAAAAAATTAAAGAAAAAATTGAAGAAACAGAAAAAGAAGGAAAGGAAGCAAAAGAGAAAGGTAAAAATAGAAGAAAAGGATGAAGAAAGTGAAGAAAGCGATTCAAGCAGTTCGTCAGATGACGACAATTCAAAAGCGAAAGCCCAGAAAAAACTAAAGAAAAAACTGAAGAAACAGAAAAATAAAGAAAGAAAGCAGAAAAGAAAGGAAAATGAAAAGGAAAAGAAAAAATCTTCCGTGTTACTGGACGATCCAGAAATTATTCTGGATGATAGGAAAAGACCTTATAACAGTATGTTTGAGGCTAAGAAACCCACAGAAGATGATATGGAGGAATATTTTAAAAAGAGAAGAAGAGATGAAGATCCCATGAACCAGTTTTTGTAAATGATTGTTAATGTTTATATATACTTTAAATGTAAGGAATAAATTATATTTATTAATAAAGTGTGTCTACTCATCCTCAATGTTACTATTAAATACACATAATCTGCGCATCTTAATGAGATTTTTCACCGATTGATATTAAATCACATTTTTAGTGAAGTTTTTTCTTTATACATTACCTGATCTAAATCGATATAATCTTTTGTATTCTTGTTGTAAATATATCACATATCGTTTGTATTAAGTACATTTCGTTGTGTGACGCCATCAAAAATAAATCACAGGCTGTACATTTTAATAATACCTCATCTAAGTTTAAAATGACCACTCAAGGAGTGCCACAAGGTTATGTCCTTGGACCTCTACGTATACGTCAACAATTTAACTAAATACATAATAATGTTTATTTTACTTCTTACATATTTTTTTTTTACAAATAAATTCTCTTATAATGTAAATAAACATGGGTTAGTCCGAAAAAACCATAAGGTTGTGCTCGGAAATTACTCCTGTTTATTATAGCGCCATAATTGCTGATAAAAATTAATAATTATAACAATAGACTCAAGATTAATAATAATACCAATAGTAATTACAATAATAATAAATGCAAATATGTGCAATAATAATAATAATAATAATAATAATAATAATAATAATAATAAATAATAATAATAATAATAATAATAATAATAATAAAAAATAATATACATGAATAATAATTTTACTAGCTAGCAGACTAACTAATGATTAATATGAACATGAGTATAATACGAGTAGTTAATATTATTAAATTAAATACTTAATACAAATAAATATAACAATAATAATAATGCGTTATTAATAAATATTATAATTAATTAAAAAAATTATATAAAAAGAAAAAGCGTTAGAATATAATAAAACACAATTTTCAAGAACATGTAAAAACACACATTGACAGATGAAATATAGAATTAACAAACGAATTGTAAATTATTACAAAAAAGATGAAAAGCAATGAACAATTTTTGATGACAACAGGAAAGCATGAAAATGATTACACTTATTTAGTTAAATTTGATGTTTTTTTTTTAATTTTTTTTTTAGAGATTACTTTAGGTTTAATTTTTATTTAGATATTTTAGTTCAATTCAATTAAGTCATGAATATTTTGTCGACCAGTATTTATCAAAAAAATTTTAAAGATCTTTTTAATGTAAGATAAGGAATTTATTTTTCTTATATGGATTTTATAGATTTCTGGCAGAAAATTGAATATGTTTGGAGCTAAGAAGGTAAAACATCTTTGTCTTATAGTTTTTTTTTTTAATAACGGGGTCTTAACAAATAATGACGATTTTTGACGAGTATCATACTTGTGATCAATTTCATGTAATATGATTTCCTTATTTTTATATGAGAAAATTAAAACTGCATGGCAATATAACTGACGAATATCAAGCAAATTGGCCTCCTGAAAAAGTAGGTCTGTGGAAAAATGAACAGGTTTTCTTAATAATAATTTTAGAAATCGTTTTTGGAGAATTTCCGTAGTCTTTAAGTGAACTTGATTTTCTTGATGAATTCAAGAATATGTCTGATGGGCGCTTTCGCGATTTCTTCAGGTTCCGGATATTGTACCCCGAAGTACCATTCACATTCCCATTTAAGGTTCCGACAGTGGCATAGTATGTGAATAGGAGTTTCGTCCTCCTCTTCACATATTCTACACAGGGAGTCATCAGATATCCTTAAGAGATTTAGGTGTCTTCTAAGCCCGCAAGGAGTCCTATTACGGCCTTGAGTTCGCTTCTGCTAAGCTTTATAGCAGTTGATGTTCTCTGCTCGTGGATGGCCCCTCTATGAATCTTTTGGACTGTCTAAGTCCAGGAAGTTCCATCCAGAGCCTATGGTGTTCTCTATTTATTTGTTCCTTTAACATCCATTTAACATGTTGGTATGAGATACCACGACATGTGGGTTCTGGTCCAACAAGAGTTTTTTCCGCACCCTTCCTTGCTAGGAGGTCTGCTTTCTCGTTTCCAAACACTCCTTCATGTCCTGGCACCCATTCAAGGGTGACCTTGTTATGTTCTGCAAGGGCCTGGAGGGACCGTTGACAATCAAATATTGATTTAGATTGCACTTCTATCCTTTTAAGGGCTGCCTGACTGTCTGTCATGATAAAGATCCTCTTATCTCCAAGAGAGTCATTTAGCTTGACTTTGGCGCAGGCATTTATTCCTGTTACTTCAGCCTGGAAGAATTGTCAGTGACCCCAGGTTCAAACTAATTGTCCTCCCTGAGTTCACATGATAGATCCCAGCTCCTGTGCTGTTTTTCATTTTCGAACCGTCTGTATACCAGATTGATTAGTTTTGTTTTTCCATATTTTTCCGGCTTTTGGCCCTTTCTGGTATTAGAATATCGAAAGGTTTACTGAAGTCGTCAATAATGGGCGTTCTATCCGATGGCATTCTTAGTACCGGATTTTGTTTTTATTTCTCTAATATTCTGTGGTGTCCTTTTCTCGAAAGTTCCCATCCAAATCCATTAGTAAACAGCCTTTATGCTGCCGCCATAGCCTCCTTCTCCACCACAAGGTGTAGTGGAGGAAGACCTAGCAGTAGCTCCATTGCTGCTGTGGGCGTAGTTCTAAATGCCCCGGTTATTATTAGACAGGCTAGTTTTTGCACCTTGTCTAATTTTCTGTTAGCTGTTATGCTTTTAGTCTTGTGCCACCATATGACTGATGAGTATGTTATAACAGGTACTACAACCATAGTGTAAAGCCAGTGCATCATACTTGGTTTAAGCCCCCATACGTTCCCTACCATCCGTCTACAGGCCCATAGTATTCTTACAGTTTTTTCTATATGGCTGCAGAAGCTAATAAGCTTGTCATCAAGAGTGATTCCAAGATATTTAACCTCTTTTGCAATTTTTAGATACATATAGGTGGAGAAGCCCGTGACAAAAAGTAAAAGATTTTTTATCATGGCCCAAAATGTTTCTATTTAGTGTTTATGTATAAATATCCCGGAGTCAGCAGTTTGATGAGTGGGACACATTGTAGCAGCAAGTTCTCGAAAATGAAAGGATCATGTAACTAGGGTTGCCACCTGTCCCTTTTTCAAGCAAAATGTCCTTTTTTAACGGCATATGTCCTGTACCTGGCTTGCACAAAAATATACAAGGCGAGAACCTTTTTACGAGGTCTTTTTTTTTGTTACTCGTAGACCTTTTTTTTTGTTACACTCTTCCACCTTTTTTTTTAGAATGACGAGGACTTTTTTGTCACGACCTTTTTTTAGAAGTTCAGTAGAAGGATGAGGAGGACCTATTGTATACCGGATCCCCTATCAGCATCATAGTCCTTTTTGCAATTTTCAAAAAGGTGGAAACCCTACATGTAACTATTTTACTAAGGTTAAATTTTTTACTATTTATAGTTTTGCCAGTCAAACCTCAATATAGTAGGATTTGACCAGTCAGCAGCTGCCAAAAGTCAGAAAACCGAGAGTAGGTGAATTTCAACTTATAAAATATGGACCGGCAAAAAACAGTTCTCCCTCTCCTACAATTTTAACTATTTATAGTTTTTACGTTAATAAATACAAAATAGACCGCACAATTTCTATCGATTCATGAGCATAGGTATGATTGTCTGAGATTTGGAATAAGTAGTTTCTTTGTCTCGTTTTGTAAGGTTAGAGGTTAAAGGTGTTTTGTTTATTTATTTGTGTAAATCGTTGTATAAATTGTATATGTAAAGTTAATAATTAGTCGACCAACAAACAATAAATGTCACTTTTACTACCAAGGCATTTAAAATCGTTATTCTTTGTATTGTTTTTGCACATAAATAGTAAAGTAATTAAACAAACATAACTTTATCTAAAATTCTTTTATTAAAATTATATAGTACAGTCACAGCAAAAACTAACAGCTCTCTCCTCCCACACCCACAGTTCCTTCAGATCCCGGGGAAGCCCCACGTTTCCCACCTTGGTTCCCGGTTTCGCTATTACGCACCTATTCCTCCTTCTCCTCAGAATTTTTACCGAAAACGCCCTCGGTTTGCACTTATACAAGTTGAACCAACATTTGTCCGATAGACACTCGACTGAACGTAGGTATCTGGGAAAATAATCCGGACCTAAGTCTTTCCATTTGATTTTTGATTCACAGTGCCATTCTTGTTGGTAGTCGGAATTTCGTTTAGATCTGTAAAAAAAAAGAAAGAATCTATTAATACAGAATATGTTAAAACAATAATTTTTAGCATCATTTTTACTCAAGAATTTAAACTTTGTCAATTGTATTCACCTTTTAAAATGCAACGAACGTTTCTACCAGCGAAACTGAAAGGTCAAAACATAGTTTGAATTAAAAATATTTAACTGTAACATTTAAATATAATGTGAATCACCTAAGACGCAGTAGTACTATCTTTCATCTCTCTATTAACACAATGCCTTTCACTAACTTTGCAAACTAAGTAATTTTTATTCGGTTACAATGTCTAACCATTCTAATTATATTTTTTGTTTTACGATTACTTATAAATTCTTGTAATGAACCAATAAAATATTATTAATTAGCTAGACATGTTGATTTTTGCAAAAGAACTCATGTCATAATATAGATTGACCATTAGAAATTTAGCAGCCATCAGTCCTAGCCTTTTCAAATTTCCGGATTACTTGTACATATATCTGTATCCAGGACATAAAAAAAAACAATTTCCAAACACGTTATCAAGTTCATTTCCGTTAATTTCCAAGTTTTTTAGCGTTTTTATAATGCATTTTTGGAGATACAGCAGTAGCGTGTCGTGTAGTCGTAATAATAAAAAAAAAAATGTTTGACAATGTGAAATATGTGACTGAAATAACAGATGAGAAACGAGCAGAAATATATAGATTGTCTCAAAAAATATATTTCGTTTGCTTTATTTAAATGTATTTTTGTTTCTAGTTTTGAAAATTCTGCGATATTAATCATCACAGGTAATCGTAAATTTTATTAACACTATCTAAAACCAATCTAATTATCAGTATTAAAAGTTGTTTGTTGTTATTAGTGCAGACATAGAGTAGTGAGAGTTTCCATGCGAAAGGCCCGGGGTTCAAATACAAGACTAATAAAATAATTTTTAAGTTTATTTTATTTTT